TGGGGCCTCCGGGGCGGACCGCGTTCCCCGACAGGGTCCCTGTGGTAGCCGGAGCAGCCCGAGCACCTCTCCTGCCCGCACCGCTTCCCCTGGAGGCCCAGCGTTTGGCCCCTACCCGCGCGACCCCCTGGCCGCTCTTTGACCTCCTCTGTGCCCGCAGGATGCAGAGATTGTGCGGACCCGGGATCCCGAAAAACTGGCTTCGTGTGACATCGTGGTGGACGTGGGTGGCGAGTATGACCCTCAGAGACACCGATATGACCATCACCAAAGGTGGGTTCCTGGATACCATTTCTCGCACTTGCTTGACTTCAGCTTTCCCACGCTCCGGTGCAGCCATCTCTGCCGTGGTCCGTGTCAGCCAAGGGAAGGGTCTTACTAAACTCTACTCCCGAGGCCCACTGGAACTGCAGCCGTCCCTGCAGCCCTGCCTGCTCCCCACGTCTCCCTGGCCTGGATCTTGGTCCAGTGAGCCCCTAGATTCCTCCTGACTCACCTTCTTCCTTAGCCTAGGCTTTTTTCCCACCAGCACTGTCATTGCCCCAACTAGTAAAGCCATCTGGGATTCATTCATTCATGTGCCTCTTTGCTACCTTACCTGACCGCTGGTCCTGCGTGGCTGTGGCAGTTGGTGTCATTTTCAGATGCGTGAAATCTTCTACTTCATTTGCACCCTTCCAAGAGGAAATGCTTGTTGAAGGCTAGCCCATTCCAGTCCTTTCTCCCTTCAAGGCTTTGCTGCATCAGATCCACTGAATGTCCACTTTTTTTTTTTTTTTGAGTTGAAGTCTCACTCTGTCACCCAGACTGGAGTGCAGTGGCTGTTCCCGGCCACCGCAGCCTCGACCCACTGGGCTCCGGCGATCCTTCCCCCTCAGCCTTCCAAGTAGCTGGAACTACAGGTGCGTGCTACCACGCCCGCCTAATTTTTTATTTTTATTGTAGAGATAAGGTCTCGCCAAGTTGCCCAGGCAGGTCTAGAACCCGCGGGCTCAGGCAATCCACTCACTTCAGCCTCCCAAAGGCGCGGGATTACAGGCTGAGCCACTGAGCCCGGCTTGAATGTCCACTTTTCAAAGGAAATTGAGCTTTTCCTGCATGCATTTCCTCGGCCCACCCCCTGACATCCTCAATTCCCTCCTGCCAATTCAGGGAAAATTGTTCCCTTCTGTTGAAGGTAAATCCTCTGCCCTTTTCCCAATTACTACTCTGGGACTTCACATCAGTTTTGCCAACCATGTTTCTACTTCTCCTTCCCTATGACCTAAAACTCTGCTCCAGTATCTTTTTTTTTTTTTTGAGACAGGGTCTCATGCCCAGGCTGGAGTGCACTGGCATGATCATAGTTCACAGAAGCCTCCAACTCCTGGGCTCAAGACTCTCAAGTGCCGGGATTACAGGTGTGAGCCACCACACCAGGCTGTATTTTCTGTCTTGAAAAGAAACAAGTGAATTAAAAAAAAAATCCCTCCCTCAGTGACACCACACTGTTCAAAGTAATTATCTCTGAGGGTTATGACATTTTAAGTCGCTCCCGGCCACTGCAGCCTCGCCTGCTGGGCGCTGGCAATCCTTCCGCCTCAGCCTTCCAAGTAGCTGGAACTGCAGGCGTGCGCTACCATGCCCAGCTAATTTTTGATTTACGGTAGAGATGAGGTCTCGAACCCACGGGCCCAGGCAATCCACTCACCTCAGCCTCCCAAAGCGCGGGATGACAGGCTGAGCCACCGAGCCCGGCTGAGTCCAAACTCTTAAAGCATGGCATGAGTCCTGCCCGGGTCTGGCCCTGCCTGCCCTCCCAACTTGATCTTTTGCCACTCACTCCTCACCCCTGAGCTGCTTTCCTTGAAGGGCCGTCCCTTAGCCACCATACATGTTGTTTCCTCTAGTTGGAATGCTTTTCTCCTTCACCCTGTCTTTCTGGCGCACAACCACTAGTTCATCTCTTCTGAACCCTCCCTTTAGTCCTTCCTTTTCCTTATTAGTCTCTGGCTGGAATACTTGGTTGGTCGCATTTGTCTCCAGCAGGTGAATCTGAAGTCAAGGGCAGGGTCCTAGATTCTTACACTTAATGTCTATTAAAGCAAAGCCTGGCACATAGCAAGCATTGAGTCAACTGCTGAACGGACACTTGAAGGGGGACTTGGGGACCATGTTGACCCCTGAAGAAAAGCCGAAGCCTTCCCTGCCAGGCTTTCTCCTCTTCACGCCTTCCCACCCCACCCGTGTCTGCATGTGCGTGCACACACACTGCAGATTAACTGGGGTCAGCTCCTGCACTCGGTCCCGCCTCCCTGTGCTCCCCAGGTCTTTCACAGAGTCCATGAGCTCCCTGCGTCCTGGGAAGCCATGGCAGACCAAGCTGAGCAGTGCAGGACTCATCTATCTGCACTTCGGGCACAAGCTGCTGGCGCAGTTGCTGGGCACTAATGAAGAGGACAGCACAGTGAGCACCATTTATGACAAGGTGGGGATCTGAGGACAGAGATGCCCACACATGCATCTCCATCGGGCCAGCTGGGAGCAGTGCTCATGCAATATTCAGGATGGGCCCAGGTCAGGGTTCCTGGCCTGTTGCGGGCCCAGCACTCATCCTCTCCCACAGTCAGGCTCATCTCCCGAGGGGGTGGGGATGTGTCCCCCTCACATCCTGAGGTGGTTTGAGAAATGGATGACATAATGTGGGGAAGGGCCTTGAACTCTGTCCGGCAGCATCTCCTAGTCTTAACACACCCAAGCGGTGATTGTTCAGTGCCTCTGGATAGCTGGGAGGCTGCTTATGTCTAGAAGCTCAGCTGGAAAGAGTTTCAATATAAAAATATCTTCAGGTTCCACTAGCGTCCCCTACAAGCAGCTTTCTGCTTAGGGAAAAGGAACAGGGCTACTGACCCCAGCACACGGTAGATCAAGCCATACTAAGGACACCTAGTTGATCTGGGAATCCACAAGGTCATTTGGTTAGCTGTTGTTTTTGCATGTAGGCTGTCAAATTCAGTTGTTTTAGCTAGGCATCTTCTGTCCCCATGACTAGAGTTTGGAATATCAAGTTCTAGCCTGCCTGTGTCAATATCTCCTCCAACTACTGAGGGGTCTCTAAACTGACTAAATTAAACCCATTTCAACTGAGCGTCAGGCTGGGGTCCAGACCAAGAGGTGCTGGGCACAGAAAACTTTCTCAGCAATACCTGAACAGCATTCTCCTACACACCAAAGGGGTACTGCTATGGAGGCCTCTTTCATAAGGCAATTTTGTGTAAAACACTAACATCCCATGTTGTTTCTATCCCAGCACTCTTGAGACACCCTACCATGTTTTCAGGCTAGGGAGAAATAGCAGCTGCTGCTGTGACGTGACACGTTATGGGCTTCTCACTCTGTCCCGCTCGATGTCTAGTCTAACACTCATTCTCCCATTTTACGTGTGTGGCTCAGACCCTCCTGTACTTCATGAACAGTGTCACTGAAGAGCTGCTCAGCGTACTTACAGATTTACCCTCCCTCAGCCACAGGGAGCCACTCCCACAGAGCCCGTCGAGGAACGGGAGACCTTCCTTATTCAAGTCAGCAGCTAGGCTGGGAGTGGTGGCTCTCACCTGTTCCTGGCACTTTAGGAGGTTGAGGTGAGAGGATTGCTGAGCCCAGGGCTTCAAGATCAGCCTAGGCAACTCGGTGAGACCTCATCTGTACAATAAATCAAAAATTTAGCCAGGCTTGGTGGTACGTGCCTATAGTTCCAACTACTTGGAAGGCTGAGGTGGAAGCAGCGCCTAAGCCCAGCAGGTTGCAGCTGCAGTAGCCATGAGTGTAGCCATGAGTGGCACTGCAGTCTGGGAAACAGAAACTCCCAACTCAAAAAAAGAAGCACTTTAGGAGGCCGAAATGAGAGGATTGCCTGAGCCCACAGGTTCGAGACCAGCCTGGGAAATGTGGTGAGACCTTACCTCTACAATAAATCAAAAAACTAGCCGGGCATGGTGACGCATGCCTGTAGTCCTCGCTACTTGGAAGGCTGAGGCAAAGGATCACCTGAGCCCAGCAGGTTGAGGCTGTGGAGGCCAGGAACGTGCATTGCACTCCAGCCTGGGCATTAGAGTGAGACTCCATCTCAAAAAAAAAAAAGCAGCTAACCAGGCATGGTGGCTCACACCTATAATCTCAGCACTTGGGAGGCCACGGCAAGAGAATTGCTTGCGGCAAAGAGTCTGAGACCTGCCTGGACAACAAAGCAGGACCCTATCTACGAAATTAGCTGGCTGTGTTAATACGTACCTGTAGCCCTAGCTATTCAGGAGGCTGAGACAGGAGATTCAGTTGAGCTCAGGAGTGAGGGTGCAGTGAGCTATGATCGTGCCACTGCACTCCAGAGCAAGACCTATCTCAAAAAACACAAAGTCCTACACATGCTGGCTTTGGTTCCAGCTTTGTGCAATGGAGTAAGCACTGGATTAGAAACCAAGTGGTCTGATAGGCCGGGTGTGGTGGCTCAAGTCTATAATCCCAGCTTTGGGAGCCCAGAGGTTCAAGACCAGCCTGGGCAACTTGGTGACACCTCATCTCTACAATAAATCAAGAAAAATTAGCTGGGCGTGGTGGTGCATGCCTGTAGTTCCAGCTACTTGGAAGGAAGGCTAAGGTGGAAGGATTGCCTGAGCCCAGCAAGTCGAGGCTGTGGTGACCGTAGGCATGCCACTGCACTGCAGCCTGGGCGACAGAGTGAGATTTCAGCTCAAAAACAAATAAAAAATTAAAAAAAAAAAACAGTCTGAATTCCAGTTCCAGCACTCTAACCTTGAGCAAGCCCCTCAACTCCCCAATTCTCCCTACTCATCCAATGAATCCTAAGCTCCTCACAGGGCTGTTGTGAGGATTAAACGAACGTGTGTGAACACACTTTTAAACCTAGAAGACCTGACACAAATGGCAGGCAGTCTCCAGTGTTTCCCCTGCTGCTGCCTTAGATGTACGAGAACTTCGTGGAGGAGGTGGACGCGGTGGACAATGGGATCTCGCAGTGGGCAGAGGGGGAGCCTCGATACGCACTGACCACTACCCTGAGTGCCCGGGTTGCTCGGCTTAACCCTACCTGGAACCAGCCCAACCAAGACACTGAGGTGAGGAGTGCTCCTGGGGGACAGACTCAGACTCGTGGATCCTCAGGGAGGGAGTGGGAGCATTTGCTGCTCCTAAGCCCTAGCAGATTGAGTCTGATTCCCAGGCAGGGTTCAAGCGTGCAATGGACCTGGTTCAAGAAGAGTTTCTGCAGAGACTAGACTTCTACCAACACAGCTGGCTGCCAGCCCGGGCACTGGTGGAAGAGGCCCTGGCCCGGCGACTTCAGGTACGCCCTGGGGGAGGCATTGTGGCTGGCAATTAGCCACTGCTAGCAGGCTGCTGGTCAACTGGGCTGCTTCTGCCCTAGCTGTGCTCTGCTTCCTGTTCAGGTGGACTCAAGTGGGGAGATAGTGGAGCTGGCAAAAGGAGGGTGCCCCTGGAAGGAGCATCTCTACCACCTGGAATCTGGACTGTCGCCGCCAGTGGCCATCATGTTTGTTATCTACACAGACCAGGCTGGACAGTGGCGGGTACAGTGTGTGCCCAAGGAACCCCACTCATTCCAAAGCCGGTGAGGCCCCAGGGTACCTCCTGCAGACCTTAAGGCCTGTCCCAGGCCTGCTGGAGGAGGCTGCCAACCTTGACCTCTGTCCTGCTCCCCCGTCTCCTAGCTCCTCAGGCCTCTATTTGCTTCTCCCAACTCTCCCTCTCTGCCTGCCTGTAGGCTGCCTCTGCCAGAGCCGTGGCGGGGCCTTCGGGATGAGGCCTTGGACCAGGTCAGTGGGATCCCTGGCTGTATCTTCGTCCATGCCAGCGGCTTCATCGGTGGGCACCGCACCCGAGAAGGTGCCTTGAGCATGGCCCGTGCCACCTTGGCCCAGCACCCACACCTCACACAGATCTCCTAGTCCAATAAAAATTGTATCTCATCCTGACCCAATCTTTGACTGCCCTCCACTGTTCTGGGAACTCGCTCAGGCTGGGAAAAGTGAAACATCTCTATGTGTGAGACCCTATGCTAGATATCTTCTTCACACTTCTCAGCCTTGCTTTCCAAGTCATCTGAAACCATCCCATATCTACGGTTAAAAAATGACCAAATACACAAGAAGTGACAGTAGGACCATAACCCAAAGTCTATGCTTCCCCCCACCCCACTACACCCCAGTGCAGCTCCCTGGAAAACAGTCTGGTAATTGAGTGGGAAAAAACACAAAAACTTGTTATCAGAGGTGGGAGTGGGGTGAGTGGAGCAGAACAGGTGATGGGCCTGGAAGAGGGTCACGAGGGGCAGAGGCCGAGGATGTCTCAGTGAAGAGGGGCAGGTCATGAACAGAGCCTCCGCCTCCAGCTGGGGGCTCTCGGGCCCGGCCAAGCACTGGGCTGAAACGCGGAAACTGGGCATTGACAAAGTACAGCGGGATGTGGGCAATTCGGCCTGTGGACCAGCACTGCAGAGAGGAAAAAAAAGTGTCAGAGCCCAGGCCCAAAGAAGGCCACCTGGCAGAGCCACACGGCAGCTAAGGCCCTCAGTTTCTCCGCCCCTCCCTCAGAGCCCCAGGAGCCTGGCATACTCACCACACTGAGCAGGGCGCCTTTGTTGAAGGAAGGATGGAAAGTGATGAGCTGGGGCTGGGCTCCCAGCTCCCCCTGGATGATGCCACTAGGAGAAGAAGGGGCTGAGCAGGCCACCGGAGGCAGTGGGGGGCATGTAGCAGGATGTGGGTCTGGGGCAGAAAGGCTGGGGAAGTCCAGACCTTCTAAGATCTGCCCGGCACTTACCAGGGGAGGAGCTCAAACACAGGGCTGTTTCGAGTGCGAAAGAGAAGGATGACTGGGTTACCATCCTGCACCCTGGGATTTCCTACAAGAAACGGACCCAGGGGTAGAGAGGAGCACTGAAGGCAGAGGTCCAGGGCGGGGCATGGGCACACTTGCTCCATGGTGAAGACGGCTGTGGACTGAGCAAAGCCCTTTGTCCTTGCTTCTTACCTTCATGAGCACGGCCAGACGCTCCCCACTAGGGTCCCAGACCATGGAGTGGGCCTCTCCTCCAAGCCTATGGGTGAGGACAGGCCGTTGGGAGAGTGCAGTGCGGTCCCTCCCGCCTTCCACTCCCTGCCGCTCCCTCCATGCTTGGCTCACCTCTCTTCCCCATCTGGTGTCTGTATTGTCGTCTCAGACAAATCTGCCACTATCGTTGCTGACTTTGCACCGCCAACACGCCCCTGGCCCTGGCCTGTGGATAAGAGCAGAGGTTCTTCCAGGCAGCACACGGGCCTCCCACTGGTCTCCTGCCAGCTACTCAAGGCATCAACACCTCCCAAGTCTCCTAAGCTCCTGTACTTCCCTTTTTCCCTCAGTTACATCTTACAGAAGGTGCTTCCTACCTCTGACCACCCCAATATTCTGGATCCTCAAGTGCAGCCCTAACTCACCACAACGCTCTGGAAAGGACAAGGAGTAAATCAGTGGCTCCCCCAGGACAGTGAACAGCAGTCGGCTTCCATCTGGGCTCCAACAGCCAGTCTGGGGTCAGGGAGCAAAGGTCAGGAGAAACAGCAAGAGGCAGAGGTGGGCAGGCGTGGGGGAGTTGGGGACCAGCTGGAATCGCTTCCGCCCCAGCCACTGTGACTCAGTCCCCTCGTACCTGACAGCGCCCTGAGAGCGTAGGCCACCTCTCACAAGTCCACGTCTGGGCCTCCCAGACTCTGAGCCAGAGAGAAGCAAATTACAGCTCAGGGCCTCCAGCTTCCAAAATGTGGGCCGACCTCCCTCTGGCAGAGATTCCAGGCCAAGTGCCTTTCTCCAGGTCCTTGCCCTCCCTCTACCCTTCTGCTCACCGAAAGACAGCTGAAGGAGTGGTAGCCAGGACTTTGCTGCCATCTGGAGACCAGAGCAGGTTGGTAACCCCACCTCCTCGAAACCAGGGAAGGGAGACACAGGTCTCTGTTGAAACATCCCATACCTAGGAGAGGGAACAGATGAAACACCAAACTCAAACATCCCATCATCTCACAGCAGGCTGCCCTCTTTAATGTACAAAGGACTAGAAAGGATGCAGGTCTATAATCCCAGCACTTTAGGAGGCAAAGGCGAGAGGATTACCTGAGCCCAGGGGTTCGAGACCAGCCTGGGCAACATGGTGAGACCTCATCTCTACAATAAGTCAAAAAATTAGCCAGGCATGGTGGCGCATGCCTGCAGTTCCAACTACCTGGAAGGCTGAGGTGGAAGGATCACCTAAGCCCAGCAGGTTGAGGCTGCGGTGGCCGGGAGCAATGTGCCACTGCACTCCAGCCTGGGTGACAGAGTGAGACTCTGACTGAGAAAAAAAAAAAAAACTAGAAAGGAGAGGAAGCAGGAAACGGACTGTTAAGTGTGACAACACCAGATTTCTGTTTATAATTACAGCAGGCAGAATTTTAAATGTGAGGAGTCTGGATGGTGAAACTCCTTCCCTGGATTAGTTTAATACTGAATGGACAACGATCCCTCTCCTTCACTCCTGACGTCACCCAGAAGAACGCCCTTTCATCAAGGCTGAAATGACCAGGAGTAGGGTAGAGACCAACTCACCAGGATAGCAGCATCCACAGGTGAAGCTGAGAGCAGCCGCCCCCCACTGGGGGCCCAGGCCAAGCTGGTGACAGGTGTGTGCCCAGGGTAAGATAGCACTTGGGCACAGCCAGAAGATGGTCTACCAAGGGGAAACGGAGGATTTGGAGTCAGAAGACAATGATGAGAAAGTCCCATGATTCTATTCCCTTGCCTCCTTCTGCTAAAACATCCCAAGTCCAATGGCTCCTCTGAGCTCAAATGCAGGCTAGGAAAAAGGAATAAGGATCATAGAAGTAAAAGATGAAGGAAAAAGCAAAAGGTGAAGGAAAAGCGGGGTGTGGTGGCTCACACCTGTAATCCCAGCACTTTGGGAGGCAGAGGGGATTGCCTGAGCCCACAGGTTCGAGACCCGCCCAGGCAACTTGGCGGGACCTCGTCTCTACAATAAATCAAAAATTAGCCGGGTTCAGTGGCTCAGCCTGTAATCCCAGTGCTTTGGGAGGCTGAGGTGAGTGGACTGCCTGAGCCGGCAGGTCCGCAACCTGCCTGGGCAACTTGGCGAGACCTCATCTCTACAATAAATCAAAAAATCAGCCGGGCGCGGTAGCACGTGCCTGTAGTTCTGGCTACTCGGAAGGCTGAGGCGAAGGATCGCCGGAGCTCAGCAGGTCAAGGCTACGGTGACCGGGAGTGGCCACTGCACTCCAGTCTGGGCAACAGAGTGAGACTCCAACTCAAAAACAAAATAAAACAAAACAAAAAAAACATCTAGTCCAGGCGTGGTACCTCACACCTGTAATCCCAATACTTTGGGAGGTTGGGGTAGGAGAATCACTTGAGGCCTGGAGTTCAACACCAGCCTGAGCCACATAGTGAGACGCTGTCTCTAGCAAAAATTAAAATTAGCTGGGCATGGTGGCGCATGCCTATAGTCCCACCTACTGGGGAGGCTCAGGCAGGAGGATCACCTGAGCCCAAGAGTTTGAGGCTATATGGAGCTGTGATCACACCAGCTGTACTCTAGCCTGGGCAACAGAGCAAGACTCTATCTCAAATTTTAAAACAAAGAAGAAGAAATCTAAACTTTATTACAATGAAAAGCCAACTCTCATATATTCAATTTCCATATATTCTTAGGTCTGTTCCTGAATGTTACTGTTACATTGATCTGTTTGTCTATTCTTTTTTTTTTTTTTTGAGTTGGAGTTTCACTCTGTCGCCCAGACTGGAGTGCAGTGGCCACTCCCGGCCACCGCAGCCTCGACCTGCTGGGCTCCGGCGATCCTTCTGCCTCAGCCTTCCAAGTAGCCAGAATTACAGGCATGCGCTACCACGCCCGGCTGATTTTTTTATTTATTGTAGAGATGAGGTCTCGCTGCCCAGGCGGGTCTCGAAACCCGCAGGCTCAGGCAATCCACTCACCTCAGTCTCCCAAAGGCGCGGGATTACAGGCTGAGCCACCGAGCCCGGCTTGTTTGTCTATTCTTATGCCAATAGCTTTCTATTTCTTGGTAGAGCAAGTCTCTCCTCATTAATTCTTCCTTTTTTAAAATTTGTCTTCCACAATTACTCTTTCATAAAAACTCAAAAGATCATTTTGTCAAATTCACAAAAACCAAGCAAAATTCTGACTGGAAGTACACTAAATTTCATCTCTTTATGATTAAATGTTCCTGCCCAAGAATACAGCATGACTCTCCATTTATTCAGCTCTTGTTTAATATTCTTCAACTTGGCCAGGTTCAGTGGCTCAGCCTGTAATGCCAGCACTTTGGGAGGTCGAGGCAAGTGGACTGCCTGAGCCCACGGGTTCGAGACCAGCCCAGGCAACTTAGCAAGACCCCGTCTCTACAATAAAATAAAAAATAGTCGGGCATGGTAGCGCACGCCTATAGTTCCAGCTACTCGGAGGGCCGAGGCAGAAGGATCACTGGAGCCCAGAAGGTCGATGCTGGGGTGGCTGTGAGCGTGCGTGTCACTGCACTCCAGTCTGGGTGAAGGAGTGAGACTCCAACTCAAAAAAAAAAAATATTCTTCAACTTTCTTCAGATGTCTAATTGACTGATTTAACAATTTTATATTGATACATTAATAGTTCCATATATTTTGGGGGTAATGTGATATTTTGATACACGCATATGATGTATAATGATCAATCTAGGGCAAATGGGACATAATTCACCCCAAAGATTCGCCCATCTTTATGCTGGGAATATCTATCTACTTTGAACTACACCACAAATTATGAACTATAGCCTCCCTGCTATACTATCGAACACCAGATGTTATTTTTTTTTTGAGTTGGAGTCTCACTCTGTCGCCTAGACTGGAGTGCAGTGGCTGCTCCTGGCCACCG